GTCATCTTTATACATTTATAAAGTTATCACTTATAAGATGACCATTTCAAAATCTGACTGTGAGTCTCTAACCTCAGACCTTGTTTCAGATGCTCCCAAGTGAACCTGGTGATCAAATTTCTAATAAGGTAGAAAATCGTCTAGCAATGATGATGAATTCTGCTGGGTTTCATGCTCAGATTACTGCTTCACAACATGCTAGGATCATTCTCATCATACAGGGTAATTAGGCTGAGTTTTCCATATGGAGGAGAGCCCCAGTCGGACTTTCTATGCATAAAATAATATTCACTATCATTTGCAGAGGTCTTTAAAGATGCTCTCCACCACACTTTATCTTATTTCTCTTAAACAGCAACCTTATGACATAGGTTTGTGTTATTATGCCTGTATTTCTCATGAGCTACCTAGAACTCAGAGACGTCAAGCGGCATTTCCAAAGGCATATATGTAGTAAATAGAAGACAGAATTCACACTCATCTGTCCCACTGCAGAGCTCCGGCTCTCTGTCACGTGCTGGTGCCTGGACGGCGGTTTGTACGTTCCCAGCCTGGGAAAGCAGAGCGGCCTGGACTCCCTGAGCTCACTCAGCAAAAGCACAGGCCAGCAAGGGAATTCTAAACCCCTGAAAGGCAGTCAAGTCCTTCCCTTGAAAAGTATGAGTTTTATTCTGAATTGTTCTGAAATCAAACGATGTATACATTTGCCACTGGTCAATCCAGAGTCAAATAGGCAAACTAGAATCAAAGGTGAAGCACTCTGAATGACATTAATACCTAAAGTCAGCCTGCCTGTGGGTCACCTGGAAAGTCCTAACGAGTACCCACAATGCCCGTGCACTGCTCTCAGAACAGGAAGTTGTAAATTGTACTGATCTGAATAACGATCTGTATTCCCAAAGCTTTTCATTGCCCTTGAAAATTCAAACTTAGATCTTTTCTTGGATTTACATTTTAAAGAAGGACCTTCAAAACATTCAGTCATCTGTAACAAAAATAAATTAATAAAAGATAAATAAAAAATTCAGAGTCAATGATAAATTTTTCTAGTGAGGGCTTAAATAACGATGAAGATGATTATTAAATCATTATATTATTGCATTAATTTTATGAAATCGTTATTATATTAGCAAATAATAAAAAGTAATGGTGCTAAATCTTAAATTGAATTGCTTACATACAATTAACAATCTCAAAATACCAACATTAATGAGCTAATATTAAATAAATGCCCAATTAAAGGCCTCCTCTCTAGATGAATGAAAGAAAAAAAAAATACTAGTTCCTTTGGAAGTATGAGACCCTTTAAAACCATCTACTTTGATTAAAGCCTGAGTCAAATTCAGCCACCACTGATAAAAGATACCAAGGTTGGTTTTTACCAGTCGGGGAAGGACTATTTAGTGGAATCTTTCAGAAATAGTAATTGTACCAAAAAAAAAAACGAAGGAAAATTGTTTCCTCACAATGACTGCCAGTGTAAATGATCTTCTGAGTGAGCAAAGTAAGCAGTAACCTACGTATTGTTACACCAAATTATATTGAATTCCAGCTCTATTAATACCTACAGTGTTTAATTAGAACCTTCTTCCTAAATTGCCCTTCCTAACATGGGCTACAACAAAACTCCAGGATTAGAAACCTGAGCCAGAAGGCAAGATGATTTTTTTGTAATGGGAGAGGTGGCAGAAGAGAGTAATTTCAGAAGAAAATCCGAAGCCGGGTATCTCTCAAAGGCAGAGAAGAAAATCAGGAGGGAAAGCCAAGGTGAGGGCCAGGTAGTCAGAAAAAGCAAATACACCCACAGCACATGAACTTCAAAGCTGGAAGGAAGCTTCTTTTATTCACTTTTGTAGAATAAAAACCAGCTTTTTAAAAACAAACACCAAGTGTGAGGTCTGGGCTTCTCACGTGCAGAATCAGAGGCATGAGATGAAAGAACTTAAAAGTCACCTTAAAGATCATAGTTAGGCTGATTATTTTGAAAAATAAAAGCACCCATGGCCACAGAAATAAAGGAAGCTGCTTAAAGTCACAGTTCACAGCAGATCTAGTAAAAATCCAGATCTATGTGTTCAAAATCTACTCTCCTTATACCATTGTACATAAATGGAAGATACCAACCCTGAGAAGTGCAAGTTCTGATGAGCAGAAAGTCTGTCGGTTGGAGGACACCATATGGTGAAAGCTAGCCCTTCTAGGGCGCCACAGTAAACCAGAGAGACGGCATAAAAACGAGGGAAATGTCCAAGGTATCAACAGGTCAGTCAAAGGGGCCCAGAGATGGGACACAGAAGAAATCTAAGGACGAGGTGGGACCTACATCTATTGTCTAAACTCAAAGTCAAAAATAAAGCCAACTTCTGTTGTTACTCTTTTGGTTGGTACTCGTATCTGTGAGAACGAAGGGGGTGACGTAGCTAGCAGTCAAGGAAGGTAACAGAAGAAATGTCGTGCCCCTTCCGTCCAGCTACATACTTCTGCAAGGCCCGTGCATGTCACTTGTGTCTATTGGGTATGGAGTGACGAAAGGAAAGGGTCCCCGGGTGATTCTCTTCATCTTCACCTCACCTCTGCTCAAAGCATAAAGAACTATTTCCCATCCAACTGAAGTCCACTTTGTAACACACCTTTATTTGTAAAAATGTGGAATAAAGTGTTCTTTGATCATTTTTTTAAATCATCATTTGAGGTAAGTTGCAAAATTAAGTCTCAGGATTAAGTGCTGTTCTGATATTTGGTAAAATCAAGAGAGTCTCCGTTGGCCTGACCGCCAGTTCCCCTCCCCACTCTGCTCCCAAGATCAAGGTCTCCCAGCTTGTCCCAAAGGGTCTGCCAGCTTGATAAGGCAGAGGTGGGTTCAGCTCCCAGCTAGCTGGGGAATTATTCAAACCAGCCAACCACCAGCGGTCACCCTCCCTTGTTGATGCTACAGAACCTGGTTCCCACAGCGCCTGGTTGTTCTCTCTGTCCTCAAGTGCAATTCCAGTGAGGCCCTGAAAGTCATGGGGTGCCCTGTTCCCCTAGGCTGTGAGTGTATGTGACCATGGACAGCTGGTGAGCTCATCTGCCCCGTGCCATTGTCATGTCCAGCCATCCCATACCTCTGGTGCAGGAATCCCCCCTCAACAACGGGGTACATAGGAGGTGATTAAATCAATCTCTCCTACTCAAACCTTCCTGCCCAACTCATTCACCCCATCCTGTACTCTCCAGCAATATAGAAGCTCCTGCCCCCCTTTCCTGGTAACAACTCTTCATGGTTAGAGCACATGATGCTTGGACTTCAAACTCCCAGACATGCCTAACTCTTTTAAAGTTGTATAGCAGCCCTGGCTGGTTCATGCAGTGGTTAGAGCATCGGCCTATGGACCAGAGTCATGGGTTCGATTCCAGTCAAGGGCATGTACCCTGGTTGTGGTTCGGTCCCCAGCCCTGGTTGGGATCATGTGGGAGGCAACCAATCAATGTGTCTCTCTCACATCAATGTTTCTCTCTCTTTCTCCCTCCCACTCTATCTGAAAATAAATGGAAAAATATCCTTGGGTGAGGATTTAAATAAATAAATAAAGTTGTATATTAAGTCCTTATTTTCTATCTCCCATTATTTTTTTAATTGTTCTATACTAACTGTTCCTAATCTTTCCTATCATTACATTATGAAACCCAGGTGAGCAATAGTACTATGTTAATAGCATGACCTTGCAAAGAAAATGTTGAAATCGCACTCCTGAGTTATGCTTGTAAAATGATTCATCACTCAACAAATATATATTACACATATAGGCTAAATTCTTTATTATTTACATTCACTTGCTTATTCCGGTGATTGGATAGATCCGCTACATACACACTGTCTAATACCTGCTCTATGACTGGCGTTACATGGATACACGGTGCACCCCCTTCACCACAGGACATTAGTTTGTCTCTGAACCAGTGAGGGGTGTGTACTAAGGGTTTTGAAGAAAGAATATACAATTAGGAAGTGATTGAGGCAGTGGGTTCCGAAGCTCAGTGAACATCAGAATCCTTGAAGTCCAGATTTTTAAATTACAGATTTCTGTGTGCCACCCCACACTTAATATATCAGAATTTCTAAGGGCAGGTGAGTAATTGACCCAGTCAGGTGAATAGAAGCCCGGTGAACAGTCAGGTTTGGGAATCACTCATGCAGGTCACACAGCATCCATCTAATCATCTAGTTTCGTGACTTTCAAAGCTTATTTGCTTGGGGTTTTGTTTGTCTGTTTAGCCATGCAGTTTTTTCAAGTTAGCTTTACCGAAACAATATGTAAGCCAGATTAAAGAAGATTTATTCCACTTGTCTCCACTGCAGATGGGGACCCTGCAGAACCCTCAGTTTCACGGCACACAGTTGTAGATCCATAACCCACAATTCTAGGTACACACTGTTTCAGCTTTGAATGAACTGAGCCCCCAGAGGCCTGCACGCGTGCCCCGTACGCATGCTTCGTGTGAGATGCTAGCCAATGGGTGCTCCAGTGTGGCTGGGTTACATTACATCAGATTTCCCCACGGGAAGCAGACACTGGCGTTCACGTGTGCATTTTCTGTAACACTTGTTGAGGACACTGTCTGATGTATGAAACAATGAACCTTTCATAAGCTCCCAGGCAAGAAATTTCCCTTCAGATTTAGTAAATGAGAAATCTGTGTTGCTTTGAAAACTTGGATTATTTCTGTCTTTCTGAACAAGTCCCAGTTTATGGAGGGGCGGGTGGGGGATGTGAGGGGTTTTTTGAAGAAACTATTTTGTGTAAGCATAGTCTGACCTCAAGGAACTCAATTTAGTGGGAGACAAACTCTAAGAAAATCAATTTTAAAACAATGCATAAGTTCAATGCTGAGATCTACATAAATTGCCATGGAAACAAGAAGATAGGTTTTTTAAGTAATTACATTTCCATTTCTGCTTTAGCTACAAGAGATAAGAGCCACATTGTGGGCTCAGTTATAGCAACAACATTAACGTTTACCGCAGGCATACTTGCTTCTGCTTTTCCCTCAGTCTTGATCCATGCCATACTTTTTAGTTCACCATATTATATACTGCTTTTCTGTTAAATAAAAAACGAGATTAAAAGGTGCACTAAAATGATATAATTTATAACATTTCTTACCAGATATTACTTGCTTTTTAAAATGTTTTTAAGCCTGGCCGGTGTGGCTCAGTGGTTGAGGGTCGACCCATGCACCAACAGGTTGCCAGTTCGATTCCTGGTCAGGGCACATGCCCAGGCTGGGGGCCCAATGCCCAGTGTGGGGCACGCAGGAGGCAGCCAATCAATGTACTGTCTGATTGATGTTTCCATCTCTCTCTCCCTCTCCCTTCCTCTCTTTCTAAAAATAAATAAATAAATAAATTTTTTTAAATTACAGGTTAAAAAGACAAAATCATGACCAGTTAGTGATGTTATATTCCATAAACACATGTATAGTCTAAATAGGAGAGTATAAAAAGATAGAAAACAAAACATTGAAAGTGAAAGGTGAGGCTCTATGTACAGTTTATATACTCTGCTTGTTGGTGAGAGATAAGGGAGCTAACCATGACCTCATTTCTCAAAGAGGGCAGATCTCTCGGCTTGATGAGGCAGGAGCTCAATGCTCTACACTATGGAGCTGGCTACATTTAAAAGCCATCTGGAACTGGTTCATAGGATGAGCCTCAGCATTCTGATACAAACACACTTTCTTGTCCCAGACTCCCACTGGCTCACAACCCACCGCTCGGCACCACAGTAGCAGAGCCAATGCCCACCAGTGGGCAGAAGATTGGCCACAAAGTCCTCGGTGGTTCTCTGTTCATGAGAAAGATGCTGCCCGCTTACGGAGAGGCATGACGTTCGAGTTTCTGTTCCGTTGCTCGGGGGGCTCCGTCCTCACTGGGATGCGTTCACTAACTCTGCACAATCTCTTCCCTGAGCCGTTTGGAGGAGAAAACAGAGCTAACTGCTCCAAACAGATGTGGACCCTGCAGCCTGGCCCTCTGTTTTTTTGTTGTTTTTTTTTATCCTCTCCCGAGGACATTTTTCCATTTTTTTGTACAGACAGAGTGGGAGGGAGAGAGAGGAAGAGAGAGAAAGAGAAACATCGATGTGAAAGGGACACATCGAGTGGCTGCCACCCGCACGACCAACCAGGGCTGGGGACAAACTGCAACCAAGGTACATGCCCTTAGCGGGAACCGAACCCGGGTCTCTCCGGACCGCAGGTGGGCGCTCCAACCGCTGAGCCAAACCGGCCAGGGCTGGCCCTCTGTTTTTGAGGTGTTACTTTAACCAACCGTATGCCCTGGTGCCTAAGCGAAACAACAGACATTGGTTTACTTGTAGATTTTGTTTTACAAAGTAGTAGGAAATAACGTGAACGAGAATAGGCATTTAAATGTTTGCTTTCTTCATTCTGTAAACATCAAACATCTTCAGGAGAGTGGACATGATAAATATTAACTGAGATCTCAGCTCTGTCAGTCACTGAGCCATCTTTCCTACAAGATACTCCACCTCTCTGCCTCAGTTTTCTTACCTATAAAATGGGGTCTCTAATGATACTTATATGATAGGGTTACTGAGAGCGTTTAACAAATTTAAACAATGTCAAGTACTTTTGATAAAGCATTAGAACACTAATTGCCATAAAAGGGCCATTGTTTATGGTGGTATTGTTATGCTATTAATATGTTCACTGAGGACAATACCAAAATGCAGTAGTGACACCTGTGAATAGCTTGTCCTGGCTTATGTGCCAACCTAATGACAGAACCTTCAAGTTCATTCCGAAGTGTCCCTGTGCGTGCCAGCTCATCAATCCGACATCCAGCCAGGGCTTCACTGGGGTTTTCTTTGTTTGATTGGTCAGTTGGTTGGTTTTTTTAAGTGATCCAGTGCTTTTAATTTTATTTATTTTTTCTTTATTGATTTTAGAGAGAGAGGAAGGGAGAGGGAGGGAGAGATAGAAACATCGATGAGAGAAAACATCAATTGGCCGCCTCCTGCATGCCTCCCACTGGGGATCGTGCCCACAACCTGGGCATGTGCCTGATCGGGGATCAAACCAGCGACCGCTTGGTGCATGCACCTATGCTCAACCACTGAGCCACACCAGCCGGGCAATGACTCAGTACTTTTAAAATTATTTATGGCCTCTGATGAAATAGTAGGTTTTTTTTTCTATGATGATGAGAAATATGTAAATAATATTGCTTCCATTTTCCCAAAATGCAACTGAAGTTCCCTCAGCAGTCATATGAAGTTCATGGCTGCACGCCATGATCCTTTCCCAGTTCTCTCCCTTCTACCCTTGGTCTGACTCCGTATTCCTGGTGATGGTTTAGCGCCGCCTCAAATACTTCGTGGGAAAAGGAAGATAAGAGTAAATAATATGAAATCACTTTCTTTCTGACTTTGCTAAAACATCCCTGTTACCTGTGGGAGAAAAATGAAATCCATGGTGACCATCCCTGCCAGCCTCTCTGCAAGGTATTTTGAATTACTTCTTTCTCCCTGTTTGGGCAATCTCTGTGAGCACGTTCAATGAATAGGGGAGAAGCAGATGAGAAATAGGCTGACACAAACAAAAGTATGAATCATTACAATGCTGCAAAGTAAAAATTCATGATTGCATGAGTTGATTGTTTCTGCTACTCCGTGTTGAAAGAAATTCAGTATGAAGTCATTGAAGGAATTTCAAAATAAGAAAAATAAGGACTTTCTTTTACAATCTCCAATAAAAGACGATAGAATATTTAAATTCTAGTTGTAAAAGGAAGATTTTGTATATCCTTTCCCCTTCACCATTTCCAAGTCACCATGCCTACAAAAAAGACATGATCCCATGGCTCTGGGAGTGCATCCCTTCATCAGCTTCCAGCCACAGTTTCCTCCTCAGTGGGAGGACCTGGATTAGATGGCTAACGCACACTCACACTGACTATGTTTTTTGAGGTGACAAGACTTAAAATTCACAAATAAATTTCCTATCCAGATGAGCATACAGGATGGGGCGGGAGATCCTCTCCCGAACAAATGATGTTACATGGACTTCTTTCTGCGATAGCACTAGGTTAAATAAATGTCCCCTACTATAACCTATAAATCATAATAATGATAGTAAAGAAAAAATTCTAGATTAGAAATGATATTAAAGTGGAGTTTTATATCTCTAAGCCTGTTTCTATCTTCAAAGCCTACACAAATAACAACCCTGGTCTTGTTACCCCAACCCCTCACCCCCTGCAAAATTATTCAGATGTAGACAGTCCCAAAGCAGCCTAAGTTTCTAAGGGGGTTTATTACAAAGCGCAAATTCATCCATGCACAAGCCTGATGGAAAATGTCCTCTGATGCTCAACTTCTGAAACAGTTCCAGGTCACCCAGCTGGAACTGGCATGAAGACAAATATCAAAGCTATTATGAAATGTGCCCAAGCATTGAATGATTGCTTGTTTGCATATGAGAGGCATGCCAGAGGGTTTAGACGTCTGCTATCTTGAAGAATTGGCTAGCCCTGAGAGGAGGGGTCTCTCCCCAGTTGCCACAATGCCAGGTCATCAAGAATAAAGAAAATTAGAAAATACAGTTAATATAATTGGCCCTGTGATAAATGAACAAACATGAAATCTAAGGAGCCCAGGTCTTGGTGATACAGTGGTTAGCATAGCTGCCTTCCAACATCTAAGGAAACACAGTTGGAACAATCTATCACTAGATCTATATTTGTATTCAAAGCTATAGTAATATCTCTTCGTAAGTATTAACAGTAGCTCCCTGTGAATGTGGAATGAGGGTGATTTATTAAACAGCTAATAAGATCCCTTTTATTTACACTTTTGAAAAATTAGATATATACATAAACATGTATATATGTAAGTCACATATATATACATAAATGTGTATATTTATGTACGCAAGTGCATATAAATTATGTATATTAGATTGCACAAACATTAAATTAATGTCAGAAAGCCAAGGTCATGTCGGGTGTTATGAGAGTATTGGAACAGACGCTGCCCTTACTCTCCCTTCTCTGCTTTCATCATGGGTGTGTGTGTGTGTGTGTGAGCAGGTTTGCTTCAAACAGCCATATGTGTGTTTTGAAGGTGTTTACAGACATTTTCCAACCCATTTTATGTATGATGTTTTTTAACAGACAAGAAAACAGCTGTACTAGATCAGTGATGACCCCCCTCTGTGAATGATCAGACACAGGCAGAAAGAGTGTCATTAAACTGCAGCTGAGGTTCGAGTATCTCCTACATTACAGAATCAAAAAAAGGACATTTAATTATTAAAGCTTGCAAATGTTAAAAAAAAATAAAATAAAATAAAGCCTATATTTGGTTCCTAAGCAAATGCACAGGAAGCTTTGAGAAGCCCGGGTTTATGCAGTGTCGTGATGGTCATGTCACCAGATACCGCCTTGCCCTATGTCTTACAGAGTGGCACTTCAGCCCCACCGGAAAGCAGAGGCACTTCCTGGAATCCCACCCTGAGGAAGGAAGAGCTAAAGTATGCTTCGAAAGACTAGAATTCACAATCAACAAAAGGCTTGACATTTGCTGTGAAAACCAGCTTCCCCCTACTTCCTAGACTATCTGAAGCTTCCAATTTGAGCTAACTTCAAACACAATGAGGGGGGATTCAGCAATATCAGAAGGAAATCCCTTCACCAATGAATGAAGGTAGTTTTAAAGATACCATTAATATGTATTTTGGTTGCTTATAGTGCTTAATATGCATTAACTCCTTTAAGTCTGACAAAAATTCTGCATTTCCTAGGTATATTTAAAGGTGAAGAAACGAAGACTGAGAGAGTTAAATACCTCCCAAGGGAACTTTAATAGTTGGAAGATCAGGGATTGAAATGCAGTGGTTCTTTGAAAGAACAGTAGATAGATGTAGAAAGATCGTGGTGAATACAAAAAGACCACTTTCTAAATGTGACCTTCTAAGTAAGTTATTTACTTCTTATTACCTCAACTTCTCATCTGTAAAGTGGGGGAAATAATATATCTACTTCACACGGTTTGGTGAAAATTAAGTGTGTTAATTTGTGTA